ATGAATAGAATAACTTTTAAATTTTTGTTTTAGCCAGAACCACCTCCCAGACGTGCTGATTCTGAAAATATCTTTAGTTTTCCTCTAGGCTGCGGAGTTCTCTAGTTATGCGAGTACGGACTAATTCGGCTGAACAACTTTATATATATAGATTTTCCTCTAGGCTGCGGAGTTCTCTAGTTATGCGAGTACGGACTAATTCGGCTGAACAACTTTATATATATAGATATGTTGTACAATTTGTTGTTTTAAAGCCATGTTTATATGCGTACATACACACAGACAATTGCATGCACGTACACATATATGCACCCACACACAATAGACTACATTTATGTTGTTGCTATGCATGTTTTGCTAGCTTCGATATACATGTAACAGTTACACTCGTCTCTATTTCAGCAAGACTTCCTTTGTTTGACATCATTTTGTGATCTAGTATCAGTAGCAAAGATCTGAATGATTGTACTATAAAGTATAGGTATAAGTGGTGCATAAGATATTCGATAGACACATTGTTAGTATGTATGGTTGCTAACATTTACTACTTTGTATGTTTTTAGTTTCAGGCTGAAATAGAAAATAAAGCATTGTTAAATGCAGGTGAGTGTCTGTCCTATGTGCTAAATTATTGTATGTATATACCAGAATACAATCATATTGCTCTATGTTATTCTATATGCTCTATCTCTAGTTTTCTATAAGTTACCCACATGTATAAATACTGATGCCTTGTATTACTCATTTTCAATCAGAAATTAATTTAACTACTTGTATTTGATGTTTAGTTGACAGTGACGACATCTCTGAGGAAGGAAAAACTGAAGTTAATTTAGTGGAAGGTATGGACCATATAATATCTGCATATTTACTATTCAATTGTGATATTATACCCCCCCCCCACCGCCAACGAAGTTGGTGGGGGGTATACTGGAATCACCTTGTCTGTCTGTCTGGCAGTCTGTCTGTCTGTTTGGCAGTCTGTCTGTCCGACACCAGCCTTGTGTGCAGATCTCCTCGAAAAGTACTGGACCGATTTCAACCATATTTGATACACATCATCAGTACCCAAGGTAGTTGTCGACCTGCGAGTGAATTTTTTTGGTTCGACATTTTTGGAAAGATTTATGGCCGTTTTCCGTTAATAAACCCATTTGGTTATATATGACATGCTGACGCCATCTAGTGGATTATTTCATACATCACTGCCCAGCCAGTTCATGCGTAACTGGCCAGCCACTAACCCGTGCAATCAAATGCCCTGGCCAGCCGCGTTAATTCGTGCCAGCCGTTTGCCAAAATCGCCCCCTTTCAGATAAATAATGGCCCCCACATGTGGTTATAATCCATCGAGCTCTCTATCTCTTTTCTCTCGCTCTCTCTCTCTCTCGCTCTCCCTCTTTCTTTCTCTCTCTCTCTCTCTCTCTCATCTCTTCGTCTCTCTCTCTCTCTCTCTCTCTTCTCTCTCCTCTTCTCTCTCCTCTCTCTATCTCTCTACTCTTCTCTCTCTCTCTCTCTCTCTCTCTCTCTCTCTCTCTTCTTCTCTCTCTCTCTCTCTCTCTCTCTGCTCGTCTTCCCAGTGGTCGCTGTGCGCTGCGTGCGTGCCGCCGCTAGAACGCGTGTGCGTGCGTGCTGTCTGCCGTGCGTGCGCTGCGTTGCTTTGCTTGATGTGTTCATGTTTTCACTGCTCGTGTGTTTGCTTGCGCCTTCTGTGGCCAGCTGATTATTTTCCCATAAAAGCCGTTCGTTGCAAATTCTTGCAATACACATACAGGCACCATAACAGCTCGAGCGAGGGTATTATTAGTAATCCCTCTCTGGAAGACAACCATTCATAGTATTTTTGCCAATTGGGCGTAGATACGTAACTTTGTAGTGGAAAGAAAAGGCGTCTTTAATGTTCTTTGGTATTGTATATTTCTTAGAAATTTATTTAAAGCTTGCTAAAAATCGGACACACACACATATATGGTATATATATTCAGGGTTATTCTGTTGGTCAGTTTTTATTAAATAATTTCAATTCGCTGACTATTGTTAGCTGAATTTTGTTGGTGATCCAAACATGTATTCTTACTATTTCTACCAGAACATGATGATTCAAATGAAAAGCAAGCCAAGCTATTAATCAATCGGTACAAAGTTGAAAGCAACGGCTTACAGCAGATCTCAAAAGGTCATGGATATCTTTAGCAGTTGTTGAGTGCAGATCTACACAAATTTTGAACAATGCTTTTTGTACAAGTGCATTAGTATAAAAATGTAGTAATAAGATTATATTGTTTATTGTTTGTTTGTTGTAGGTTGACGTGATCAATGTGATGGAACCACACAAGCACACCGGCTCCTCTACCCAGTACATTTACATCACGCAGTAGCCTGTTCGTCAACGTACGCACCATGGAGAATTAGGGTACCTATTCTGTAATCGAGTTTTGTTTTGCGTGATGATTATTGCATAGTTGTGATCGAGACCCAACCTTCATTGTCATTGCTCTCTCCTTGTCAAGCGATGCATGAAGCATATACTATATATATATATTATATATATATACTTATATATATACAGTGACGAACGTGACAGTCAATGTTATAATCTATATATATATTAATATTGATTTTCAAATAGATTACAAGATTAGGTGCATAATACCTTTTCTGACTACAAATTTAAAAAATCGGTGCTGAGAACATTATTTAAATAAATTTAATATTGTCTCTATTACATTGTATTATAATATTATATTGTCTCAGTAAAGTACAGTTAAAATTAAGGATGTGGTACTGTATGTGTTTACTAATGCCCAAGTGCAAAATTTTCAGTGCTAATATTGTGAAGCTTGAAGAAGGGACAAGTCCTGGGCAGTGTGAGTTTTGTCCCACAGCATACCTGTCCTCCCAGGAAGAAGTCGATATGCACAAGAAGTGCCACGTAGCAGGTAACTTATAATCCTGTGTAAGCTCCAGCAACGTCAATCAACAGTTTGGTTTTGCAACGATCGAGTTTCTGTCATATACGCGCTATCGGTATTCATTTTTTCATTTTAAAATCTCTAAGTGAATTATGAATGTGCAGTATTACTTAGCCTCTTTATTAACCCTAAGTCTATGATTACCACCATGAGAGCCATGACTAGTGCACTGGAAAGTGCATGCTTACTAGCTACTACAATGTTCCTTGAATGATATTTTAGTGGAGAGTATTATAAATGCCACTGGCCCCTGTATTACATGTACTGCACCCCAAGCTATTTTTCCTTCTTTAAATGTTACTTCGTTATGTATTGGACTGTGCAAGTCCTGATATTAAAACTATATATAATTGTCATGGCTGTCTGATTAGTAACTAATATATTAATGTTACTGTTGTTCGTGTCATTTGATTTTTTGTTGTGAAATTGGAAAAAAGATATACTTTTATTGTGGTGCAGGTCACTCGTATCTCAAATGCCCTCACTGTTACAAGATAACTACAGCATGGGCACACATGGCACGCCATCTGGCATCTCATACAGGTGAAAACATTACGATGGCAAGGAAGGGCAAAGTCAGAGACAAAAGGTAAATACTCTATCTTAAGCAATGTTTTTTGCAATGTTTGCCAGGATAAACGTTGGACAAAATACATGTAACTTCATTTGAATTTTTCTAAAATGTCATTATTAGTGTGTTGGAACGCAGCTTGAATTGCGTCGGACAAAATACGTTTGACTTCGTTCTAATTTGTCTAAAATGTCATCATAACTGTTGGAACTTCAATCGCGTCGTGTTAATTGGTCAAACTAGTGAAGTCACGCAGATATACGTTTGCTTGTTTCCCGTTGCTCGACGTCGCGTCTCGTTGCCGCAGCAGGTGTGAGAAGTGCGACAAGCAGTTCTCCTCGTCGGCGTTACTCAACCTGCACCAGCAGCGCGTGCACGACGACGTGCATCGCTTCGTCTGCCACGAGTGCGGCGACAGATTCAAGTACGAGAAGGCCTACAAGCGCCACCTGGATCTGCACAACAACGTCATCTACCAGTAAGTCGGCGACGCTTGTTCGTGCGTGGAGATCTCTGCGATCGCTCGTACCTCGTGGCATTTGTTCGGATGAAGGTTCGAGGTGGTTTGCACAGAGGTTTATGTTGTTCATAGGTGCAGTGGTGTGTGTGTTGGTTCTGTTAGTTCTGGAGATAGCTAGAGAGATAGAGTGAGAGAGAGAACGACAAAGAGAGAGAGGGAGGGAGAGGGAAATAGATAGTGAGAGAGAGAGAGAGAGAGAGAGAGAGACGGAGGAGACAGAGACAGATATAGAGAGATGCATGAGCTAGATAGAGACATGCCCATGGTTGATTGCCTCTTTCATTACTCAGTCTCGTATTGTATACTTGCAGGTGTGAACATTGCAAGTACCAGTCCAAAGTGCGAGCAAACATACGCAGTCACATGAAGGTTCACGAGGTGAGAATGCGAGGCCATCGACTCTCCTCATGTCTGCACTTCGGTATTTCGTGAACACCGGCGCGATTCTCATGCATAACTCGAGTTGCTGTCCAAACTTTTGCGATGTGTGCACGAATGTCTCGATCGCTGGAGGTTTGATTCGGTGTTCCACATGGGTGTATCACTTGGCAGGTTAGAACGTCTGAGGCAAGAATGAGTTTTCGCAAACAACACGTGCGTGTTGTTAACGCTCCTACCTCAGCTGTTTAATGATTGAGGGCAGGTTATGACAGCTGTAGAAGGATCATGTGAGGCTGGGGGAGGTGTGACGGAGGATGAGGTGAGATAAGGTGGAACTGAGCTGAGGAGGTGTGACGGAGGAGGATGAGGTGATGTAAGGTGGAACTGAGCTGAGGAGGTGTGACGGAGGAGGATGAGGTGATGTAAGGTGGAACTGAGCTGAGGAGGTGTGACGGAGGAGGATGAGGTGATGTAAGGTGGAACTGAGCTGAGGAGGTGTGAAGAAGGAGGCGTGAAGGTGAGATGAAGATGAGAAAGAGGTGAAGAGGAGCAGGAGCTGAAGTGGGGAGGTGTGAGGGAGCAGCCGAACCTCGATGTCGAGGAGGTGCCGGAAATGATTTGGTGTGAGGTGAGGATGGCCCACTATCATCATGAATGTTGCACTCAGGCCATGATAAAAATATTGTTTGTTTTCCCTCACCCGACCGGCCCGCCTAAAAGGGGCCGACTCAAACAAATTTATTTATCTTTTTCATTTTTTTTTACAAATTGTATCACTGTACATTATATAAATCTGTAGGCAATACATTATATGTACCAAGGAAAATAAACATTCAACATAAAGGTATCTCCACACAAGCACACCCGAGCATGTAGACACCATGCTGAATTTGTAAAAAGACCCCCCTGAAAAAAGAAGAAGAAACATACCTACCTACCCAAATTATTCAGCCTGGGTCGGGTGGGGGCAAACAAAGATTTTTTTAATTGTGGCCTCACGCTCGCTGCTGCTGCACTCACAGGGACGCGGCCAGATCTGTGACGTGTGCGGTAAGGTGTTCTCGATGCCTTCGCGGCTCAAGAAGCACATGGAGCTGCACAATCGCACCGCCGACTCCAACGTTGTCTGCGTCTACTGCTCCAAGGTCTACAGCAGCAAGGCGACACTCGACATACACTTCAAGCGCGAGCACTCGACCGTCTGCTCAGTGCAGTGCCAGTTCTGCGACTACATCGGCAAGGACAATTCATACCTGCAGGTAACCTGGCGTATGTCGTCGGCGTACTTGCTACCTCACTGTTGGCGCCCTTTCGTCGTCTTATGTGTTGTTTGTTTGAGATGTGTGTGCGTGCGTGCGTGCGTGTGTGCGTGTGTGCGTGTGTGCGTGAGTGCGTGCGTGCGTGCGTATGTTGGCTTTGAATGCTTATAGTCAAGAGCTTGATGCTGTTGCATGTTGTTTCCTTGCTAGTTGTTGTCTTTTCTGATTGCAGTGCACATGAAACTTATTGGGAATTGGTCAGTAGCATTATCATCGAACAGAATTGATGATAGGTCTAAAGTGTTCATCCTGCATATAAGATAAATTTCTCAAACCTGTCATTTTGCTGTAATTGAACCATGCATGCATATATGCTCTTCCTTTCTTGCATCCACTACCGTGATTTTGCACCCGACCCTTCTCCCTTGATTATCTTCCTCCCGTTATTGGGCGGAATCCTCTCTGGGTCGTACTTCGGCCACGACACTGAGGGAGGTCACTGCAAGAGCATTAAATCTTCTTGGTGGCCCTCTGACTACTTCACTGCGACGGGGCGGCGTTCGTCTTTCAGGAACATCTGAAGAAGAAGCACTTCAAGGAGTTTACATGCAACAATTGTCCATACGCGACCTTCAATGAGGAGACTCTGCGGCGGCACATGGACACACACAGAGAGTTCAGGCCCTACAGCTGCACTCTGTGCTACTACAAGGCACGCGAGCAGAAAACCCTGCTGTCTCACATGCGAAACAAACACTGTAGGTGAACTCACAGCCCACTGCTTGTCGTAGTTATCGCATAGTGAATCAAATGCTCAAAAAATACTGGTCGCTTTCATGTGAGGAGATATGTAGAGGGACTGTTAGTGTAGTCGTATGCCTGTAGCTTCTACCTTGAACTCACTTCTACCTCTGCATTCATATGTAAATGCCATCTACCAGGGGCCCGTTGCCAGAAACTTCGTAAAGTTACGATTAATTTTAAGTCTAATGTTAATGTTAAGGTTAATTTTAATAGCGTTGCCAGAAACCAACTTAAACTAAACTTACTTAAGTGAAAACTTACGATAACAGGAACTTCATCACAAGGCTGCTGATTGGATGGGAATCGATCACAAAATTCAAATTCATACACATTTATTGTACATCACAGTAATTTATGCATATTATGATGGCTAACCACATATAAATAATATTTGATGAAAAACGACACGGTCTTGAATTTATTCTGCACCAAGGTTCTGCACAACAAGACAAATTCTCACACTGTAGCAATTCTCACGAGACGCGAGAGTCGTGTGGTCAGTGCAAAAGTATTTAAAACAAGAGAACAAATGCCATACGGCATTTGTAAATGTTTTGACACTTTTGTTTTGCTTCACGATCAGTAGATAATTAATGTTTTTGACGTGTTTTTTCAAGAAAAAAACATGATATTACTCATTAATATAAAATATAATATCACTATAATTGTAATTCTTAGTCTAAATGTGTTATTTTCATCTTAATATTAAAGTTAAGGGAGGGTCTAGGATCTCTTAAGTTAAGAGAAAAGTTACGAGAATTTTTAATTCTCTTAACTTTACAAAGTTTCTGGCAACGCTTTAAGAGAAAAACTTAAGTTTAAGGTTAATGTTAAGACTAATTTTTTTCTGGCAACGGGCCCCAGGTGATAAACTGTGCTACACCTTAATTGCCTTAAATAGCTATTGAGCTATTTAGTAATTATTAATCTTATTGGTGGTATCATCCGTAGTAGGAGATTAATGTCGGTGCATGATTCGTTTGCTCCTTATTACGGCAGACATGCTGTAGTTATCATATGAATACCTGCCGTGTGGAGCAGTCAAATTAGGTTCGTTTGAAATCAGAGGATAATGTGAAATTAAAACAACGGAAGAGGACTAATCTTGATTCATGTGTTTTTACAGCTCAGAACGAGAGCGCGAGAAAACACGTGTGCCCTTTCTGTGGCATGAAGTTTAAATCAAGCTCAATGCTGAAGGCACACATGCCCACGCACACAGGTAACTCCAGCAATTCTCACGCGTGCAATTTTGTTTTATCTAGACTAGTGTAATGTCGCCACCACCAGCAACATAACGACACTTCATTTGGTTCTTCACACTTTTGTGCTCGCTGTATTGGTGAAGGAAGCCTGGGTCTACACTACATCATGTTGTTCTACTGATATATCTATGATCATGCCTCCAGTATAATGTGACAGTCTGTGTTTAGCGCCTCACCCGGCACGCCCTGCTGTACGTCCTCCCGCTCACACAGCTGATGGCTGCTCCGCGCATGCCGCGCACGCGTCTTTCAGGCGACAAGCCGCACCACTGCCTCTTCTGCGACTACTCAGCGAAGCATCGCGCGACGCTCTACCGGCACAACCTCTCCAAGCACCGTAGCCTCGTCGCCATCACGCTCTCACAGAAGCAGTCACGCGAGTTCTACAATGGCGGCGGCGGGGTCGCGGCGGGGTCGTGTGATGAGCGGGCGGGGGAGGAGCAGACGACGTACGAAGACGGTCTCCACGTGCTTGCTGACCAGATAGAGGTCGTCGACTACCAGGTCGCCGCGACGACGGTCGCTGACAACGACAACAGCGCGCGGCTCTCGCTGCGCAGCGACGACGACGACGATGCGGCGGCGCCTCCTGCTGGGGTGGTGGTGAACGGCGCAGACGTGCGGATTGACGAGGCAACGCTGCATCACATTATGGAGGCGACGCCGAACGGAGGGACGCTGATCATACAGACAGACGGATCGTTCTGACGCAGCGTTGTCGGCGCCCCCTGGTGGAACCGAGATGGAAAGACTTAGGCAGAACTGGTGAAACTTTGGGTCGGATATGTGGTGGCATTCGCGGACGAAGGTGTGACAGTGTCGATGTGTGTTGTCGTGACAGCTCTCGGATCGATGTGTGACGATGACGACGTTTGATGAACGACTGATGGATGGATAACTGCATCTGTTTATGTTGCCTGTAGCAGATTTTCTAGCAGTCTCTGACTAAGTGGAATTCTCTGTTATGTGTCGATGTGTGTCGATGCATGGGTGCGCAGTAAACTGTTGTGTATGTAAAACATAGTTTGATTCAGTAAGTGTTGATCGGTATTTTTGTTTGTTTCATATAAACATGATTGAACTTTACACAGTATTATATTCGATATGAAATATTAGTGCTATTAATTATATGCATTGTATCTGTAATTTGATCCAATGCGCATGCGTTTATTTAGTACATGACATGCTATAATACTGTGTCTCTGTATGAATGAATTTCAATATATATGGTATATGGTTCAGAGATATCGTTATTATATATAGAGAGAACGCACAACCATGAGAAATGGAGCTAAAATGTTCACTGTCAAAGGCATATGACTGTATTTTTTACTGACAATAAAACTCACTGCCAGTAATGCAGGGACATATATACAGTACTTGGTTGACAATATTACTGTGGAAGCTTCTTATCTAAGAATGTCAATATGAAATGGAATATTAATGGCGAGCCCTAATGGTGGTTATAATAGCTTCGAAAATTCTCCTTATAATGCAAAAAAAAACTTATTAAATATTGAGTCTCCTTCTATGCTATACAGTTGTCAGTCACATATGAGAAAATGTGTGTACGTAGGAAACGTCTTCCTGGACATATTCAGCCGTCTGGCAACATGAAACGCTCTGAGATGTGAAAATCTGTAATGAAACATGTTAGTGGCCATCGGCTATTGTCGCGCGTATATATTCGTCTTACGATGTTTAGAATTCGGATGTAATCTCGTTAAATTAGCATATAGCGAGCTTTTTGAACGACGAGAGATTCCCGTCTCGAAATATTGTGAGAAATCTGCTAATAGGAGCCGATGCTAAATCATCACATGCACTAGAATTGAAGCGTGCATAGTCGCGTGTTACGTCACTGGCGCCGCGAGCCTTATCCCTGGTGACAATAATAGCGCCAGCTGCCGCGGCGTGGCGCTACCATCGTTCCCGAGCCTCCTTTAGATATCCTATATACACACTATCAGGCGCTAATATAACCTGGCATTATTACCTCGAATTACATACCTGGTGTTATTTGCCCTTGTCGCTGTGTACATACAATATCCATATACACTATCTGTTTGTATTATATCTATGGTTTCGCCTATAGGAACAAGAAGAGAGCGGCAATGACGGGCGGAATGTCATGATGATGCGCATTCTTTCTCGCTGCGCATGTAAAAGGTTTTATCCTGCCTCATATAACCTCATAAAGATTAGTCTTCAACGCCCAAGGGACTATATAGAAGACGGAGAGAGACAACGTTGATAAAGCGGACAGATCAAAATTGCGGATCGCAGTAAAAAATCAATAAAGTTACATCAAAGCCAGCATAATGTCCTATATCTCCCATTATGTACTCTTGATATCATATATATATATATATATATATATTATCAGGAGAAAATAATCACAAATTATTAATCACAAATTTGTGATTATTTATTCTTGATATATATATATATATATAGCGCGTAGAGTGTATCTAAGCAATAACGTGTAATCCTACAGATCGTCTATGTTACATGTTATCAGGCGGCGAAGTCGCTTAATTTACTAACAGAAAACTACTAGCTGTTAATTAGCGTTAAAGTTGTCCATGTCATCTGCATGTCGGCATGTCGGCATGGGTACAAAACCTGGAGACTGAACTGCCGTACTTTAGACTATTATATTATATTATAGCCTATTATATAGCTTCGGTTTGTGATTGCGTTAGGGTTGGGTTTAAGTTAGGGTTAGGGTCATGACCACATTTAGGTTAGGGCCATGATTACACTATAGGGTTAAGGTTACGATGAGGTTAGGGTTATGGCTGGGATTAGATTACAGCTGCTGTTAAGGTTAGGGTTAGGCTAGTGTTAGGGGCATCACATGTTTCGACAATCCCCCAGAGAGACATAAACCCCTTCGGCCGTTACAAGCTCGGCTGTTTCTAGTAGCAGTATAATATATGCCCTGCTCCGCGCTGACACCGACCAGCCTGACACTGCGGGCTAGTTGTAAATCGTTAGCACCGTGCTGGGCACACACATCGGCCCTCATTGTTCCCCTAATCGGCTGAATGTTAGTGGTCGTGGCCGACTCCACCCGAAACTCGGCGATCGCAGGCGCACCCCCACTACCCCCCGCAGCAAAAATGAGCGCGTCCGTGAGCGCGGCCAGCGGTAGCAGCAGCAGCGGCAGCGGTGGCGGTTCCAAACAGCGGCAGTATCGGGTAGATATCGCGAGCAAGCATGTGCGAACGCCGTGGGATGATGATGACGATTGCTGCTGGAACTGCGCTATCGTCCGTCTGGATAACTAGTGTGTGTGTGTGCGTGTGAATCTCGCATGTAAGGAGCATAGCGGGGAGAGAGAGATAGCAGTAAAGTGATTACCTACGATGTGAGAGATCCCGATTGGATACAGGCGAGCGTTTTCGTGCGGTGTTCAAGGATGCTTTCGTCGTAGAACTAAACGCGAGGTTCTCTGGTCGTACTCGGATTCCGGATCGTACGCGAATTTCGGATTGTGTGCTGATTTCTGATCGCAAGCGGATTTCGGATCGCAAGCGGATTTCGTGTTTTTCTCTGCGCATAAATATTAAGTGTCATCGACGGATCAGCAGCGCCGGATAAGCCAGGACGATGGCTACGGCGACGATGACGATGAAGCTGCTGATGCTGTTGATAGTGGCTGGAGCCTACTGTGCGAGCGCGCAACAGGCGTTTCAGTGTCCAAAGGAGTGCAAATGTGCGGGATATTCACTGGACTGTAGCCACAAGGGCTTGACCGTCGTGCCACGAAATCTACCGACTCTTACCGAGCGACTGTAAGTTTATCCCATCCCTTCCCCACTTATAACACTCTCCGTACGGTACCGTATCACTCCCCGTACGGTATCGTATAACTCCCCGTACGGTGCCGTATCACTCCCCGTACGGTACCGTATCACTTTCCGTACGGTACCGTATCACTACCCGTACGGTACTGTATCACTCCCCGTACGGTACCGTATCACGCCCCATACGGTCCCGTATCACTTCCGGTACGGTACCGTAGCACTCTCCATACGTACCTATCACTCCCCGTACGGTACCTTACCACTCCCCGTACGGTACCGTATCACTCCCCGTACGGTACCGTATCACTAACCGTACGGTACCGTATCACTCCCCGTACGGAACCGTATCATCCCCGTACGGCACCGTATCACTCCCCGTACGGTACCGTATTACTCCGCGTACCGTACCGTATCATTCCCCGTACGGTACCGTATCATTCCCCGTACGGAACCATATCATCCCTGTACGGTACCGTAGCACTCTCCGTACGTACGCACCGTAAGTTACTATCACACAGCCCGTCTTTACCTAGTTTGTATTTAAGATGAGGCGAGGTACAGGTGTGTACGGCGACGTGCTATTATATTATTCTTGCGGTTATAATTATTTCGTTGTAAAGTGTAATTTTATTGCACGTTAAAAGCATTGTAAAGTCCGGTGCTCATTCGCGTGCTATATACGCACAACAAAAGTATACGCCAAGAAAGATAACGAGGAGGAGAGTGTGAGAGGGTTCGTGCGTGAGAGAAAAGTGTAGAAAGGACAAGAGAGAGGTTAGAGGGAAAGAGAGAAAGAGAGAGAGAGAGAGAGAGATAGAGAGAGAGTGAGAGCGAGAGAAGGAGAGATGGAGAGAAGGAGAGAACGAGAGAACGAGAGAAGTA